TCACAACTGATGCGTAAAAGCATCTAAAAAAGAGACTATGTAGCATGCCACATAGAAGACTGAATAAAATCACAACATCAAATCCGCGCTTATCGGCAATCGTGCTAGCAATAGGTGATCAGATGACTTCCACGGGTCCAGTTGCTAGGAAAATTGCGGAAACAACGAAACTGGCCCTCGTTTCTGTCTGGTCTCCATCATCTGGCTGTGAATCTGTTGACTCCAGCGTTGCGTTGTTCTTTGCCCACAGTCCCATTCAGAGACCAACGGCTGGATTGCTCCCCAATAACAGGTGTCAAGATATAGAGCACCAATGATTGTCATGATTCTCAACCGCTTCTCATTTTGTGAAACGAAACCGTCTATCTTTCATGTCTGGGATAGCTCCAGTGAGTTTTATACGTGTATTCCTATGGAATTGTAGTCGTGAATACTGTACAAGGAGCACGTGTTCTTATGCAGATGAACGTAACGCCTAAAGACAGCAGAAGACGAGCAAGGAAGGCCTCCGCATTGAGCTAATGGCTATCGACAGTTTTCATCACAACAGCCTCAACGGATACCCGACGCGTGTAGTTTTTGCCAGAGGAAGAGAACAAGCCTTGGAGGATCCAGACAACCTCACAGTCACCGGGCGTGATCGCCAGAATCGCACCGTTAAACAAAAACAACGAAGTGGTAATAAATGGAAACGGAGTAAACCTTGTTGAGATGTGTTAGGATGATGGTCACTTTAGCACTCTGTGGGCTTCTTGTTGGAGAAGCCTGCTCAGCGTATTGTGTATTTCTTATGTTTTCGGTTGCAGGAGTGACAGTAGGCGCAATAGGAAATAAACTATTTCCATTTGAGCTTGCGAATTGAGAAGTAGTACTTATGGCCAGCAACAGCATATCAGCCATCTCGAGCCCCCTGGTCCTATAAAGGCCCTTAGAGCGTACAACATAAAACGGTTCACTGTTTATTGCCGTTGACGGTTGGTTGAACCATAACCTGGTCCTTATTGTTCTACATGCAGCTTAGAAGCAATGCCCTACCTGGTTCACAATGCGATTCCGTTAACCAGTGCATCAATTATAGATCTAGGCCTTATACACATTGCCAAGTAGGTTAACTGAATTTGCATTCATAAATACCTGAGACAGTTTCGCCTTCCTATTCAGAGAATAATTTTCCCGGTATCGCACCGGTATTCGCGACGCGTTTTCAGCCAAGTTGCTATACGCACTTTTTTATGAATCGCAGTTGCTGCGATGCAGCCAGAAACATGAAAATAAAAGTGCCCGTTTTCGTGGCCAAAAAAAGCAGTCAGAAATTTTACCTTTTATTTGTTGTTTTCCTTTTCACAAAAGCTTATAAAAAGTGGTAGAAAGTAAACAGCTACATGTATATGTGGCGTACAATGGTTTCTTGCATGTTACGGATACGGTGCAATGTTTGTTGTACGAACTCGTGTGTATACAGCACGCTGTACATTTAGCAGGGCACCTTTCCACACGATTGGGAATTCAAAATGCGTACACAAATTCTACTCAACGGATAGGGGATTGTTTATGACTGCTCACGTCAGGAACATACAATAAAATGGCACTAGAGGGGGTGTTTGGATGACATTCATGATCTGATTGGACGTTGATAATGCATAGTGCAGCTTGCCTGCAGCTCGGGCGTTAGTCGAGTCCATTCACCTGAGCAGGCCATAAGCGATCGCTCAAGACCGGCCAAGCACATATTCGCTCCATTATTAAGATGTAGTTATTTAATATTTTTAAACGCGTTCGTATGTAAACTAAGGCTGTGGAAAACGTTCAGTCACTTGTACAATTGAAACGCGGATACAGAACTGAAAATCGCAGGAATTGGATTATTGCAGCCAGCAGATCTCATCACCATGGATTTTAGCAAGGCTTTTGATATTGTTCCTCATCACAGACTTCTAGTCAAACTTAAACATTTAGGAATCCGGAACAACGTACATAGGTGGATCGATTGCTCCTTCCCCAAAAGACACAAAGTGGTTTTCGATAGCCAGTCTTCACAGCTATTGCCAGTTCTATCAGGGGTCCCGCAGGGCACAGTGCAAGGGCCCTTAGTATTTTTAGTATGATTATGTCAATGATCTGCCGAATGGATTATTATCACGTGTCAGTCTTTTCATAGACGGTGGCATTTCGCATCGCAAAAATAAGACCCCACAAGACTTTCCCATCCTGCAGACAGACACTGACCGTTTATGAACCTGGGAATCCATCTGGCAGATTGGGCTTCATCGCTCCAAATGCTTATCCCTGAGGGTGACTCATAAAAAGAAACCAATACTGCACCAGTATAGAATAGGTCATAACTTGCTTATTGATGAAGTCAAACATTACTCATATTTAGGAGTCGAACTCACATCAGATATGACTTGGAGCAGAGATATAAATCAAATCGCAGCCAAAGCTAACAAAACCCTCTTGAAAAGAACTCTCCATGCTTCTGATAAACTCACCAAGGAAATGCATGTAGCTTACAAAGCTCTTGTACGACGACTGCATGAATGCGGTATGGGATCCTCATCAACAAAACACAGTCAGCGTACTTGACAAGGTCCAGAGACGAGCAGCCACATTCGTCTTAAAGAATTATAGCTACGCATTAAGTGTTTCTGCAATGCTCAGTGAGCTAGGTTGGGAGTCTGTAGAGGACAGACGCACCAGATTAGAGCTCGACCACGCACCATCTATAAGGAGACTTACGGTATAATCCCTTGTAACATTTCTCATCTGAAAAGCCATCCTGCCAGTGTTTACTCCAAACGTTCATCAAGGCAGACCAACAGCACCTTAAAGTTTCGACGAATCCAGGCAAACAAGAACTTCTACCTTCACTCACTATATCCATGGACAATTCCAGAATGGAATCTCCTTCCCCACTCTGTCAAAAAAAACCCAACCCACATTGAATTCCTTCAAAACTCGTTTATTAGTTAAGATTAATAATGAACTCGCTATCAAAGTGCATTTAAAAATGTAATACCAACTGGCGCCATGGCAGTGTTACCTGATGTGATAGCCCCACCATAGGCGTTTGTGCAGTAGCTGGCAGATAACAGATACAGAAACGCATTGTTATGAAACAGGGATACAGGGATAATCGGAAGAGATGCCATAACTGCGGTGGCACCGCACGTACACGTACATTCTTCATCGCGTGCTGTAGCTTTGGCAAATCATTATACCCTGTTGGTCAAAGTGGAATGAAACGCGCGTGTACCATCCGTCCACGAGCGTTAACGCCACTGCAGTAATCCGATTCTGGTTGTCGAATTACACTATAGACATCAATGCCAGCCTAACATTGGATTCTGCTTGTATTTTTCCTGTATTTTTCCTTCACATGGCATGTTTTGTGCAACTTTTCTCACACCTTTGTTAATAATGGTTGGCAAAAACATATATTTGTTTTTATTAAGCTTTTCATCAATTTCTATGCATTTGCAATGTTTTAATATGTAACATTTTTCTGGTCTTATCCTGGCGATTATCACCGAGGGGACAAGAAGATAGGAAAATGGGTTGAACAATCTCTAGACCTCTGTTCCAGAGAAAACTCAGTCTCGGAAGAATCCCTTGACGCCACTGAAGACCTGCCTGTCCTGAAAGAGTTACACCCCGAGCCAAATGCGAGAGAATTCAGCAAAACAAACGATTGGCTATCATATGTGACTACTAAGCCCCATGTAAAATCGACAAATGCGCAAAGACCAGTAGGAAGTACTTCCTGTAAGCTCTTGTGCTTTACTGGAGAGATGACAAGGTACCCCAGGACATGAACGACGCCCAAATCATCACTTTGTACAAAAACAACAGCGACATTACTTGAGTATATCTCCGTGCTGAATGTCCTGGACAAAGTCTCCGCTCGTGTATTATTTGCTCGACTGCGGGTCCTCACAGACCCATCTTTAGTGTATGCTGAATTCATACTGAGAGACCTGCAGCCCCACATGATCTTCTCAATACGACCGTAAAACAGCCCATATGATCTTTTCAGTACGACCGTAAATAAGCAGTATAAGTTATAAGCAGATGCCGTTCAAGTTCCACACTTCATAGATCTCACAAAGACGTTGGACGTATTACTGTCTCCTTTCTTGAGACAGTAATCATAGTCAGGTACGATGGAGGAGCCTCTGAACCCTTCACAATCCGGAGCGGGGTTAAGCAAGGATGCATTCTGGCACCGGTTTGTTTGGTTTTTTTTCTTATGCTGCTGTTGAACTCAACAGATTCGCCCAAGCCCGCATGCAGCATGGGCTGTCAGCATAAAGAAAATAAATGTCATGGACCAGGGATTCCTAACACCACTATCACTCAGCATCGACATGGTGTTTAAGGTCACCGACCACTCCCTCGGCCTACCCAGGGCTCCACCGTTACCAGCAAGCGCATAACCAAAGCTACTGCGATCATGTTAGACCTGAGCAAGAGATGTGGAGTGACAAACACAGCTCGCTAGCTGCAAACACCAAACTTAAGGTGTAGGATGCATGCGTCCTCAATACTTTGCAGTAAGGCAGTGAATCCTGGAAGACATATGCATGACGGGAGAACCACCTGAAAAAAAGCTTCCAGCTTCGCTGCCTACGACGTATCCTGAACATAAAGGGGTGCGACAGCCACAACACAGCTGTGCTAAAGAAAGCAGGCTCACTCAGCATGCACATTTCTGCTCTGCCAGCGTCGAGCATCGCATGAAGGACAGCTGCATTCCAAACGATTGCCTGTATGATGAGCTGGCTACTGTGACAAGTGACGCTGCGCTGCGATGTAATAAGGACGTCTGCAAATGAGACTTGAAAATCAGCGCGACAGACATTGACCCAGAGGGATGAGAATCGCACACAGACAATCACAGCAGCAAGGGTAGATCTAGATTGGGGGGGCTATGCGGCCTAGTGTCGCTGGTCAGCGTGTCATACACGAATTCCTCTTTTGCCATTCATTTTCATACTCAAAACTTATGATTTCAAATTCATTTAATGCACGGAAGATTGAAAGTAGTTAAAGATGTACATAATGAGGCGCTTACTACTCTTTGCTGCCATTCATTCTCTTAACAAAGTGAAAAAGGGTTTGGACAACACATGACAAGTGCCATAAATGTATTCACTATGTGGCCAGATGGGAGCGTTGAAGAATGACTATAAAATAATAATGACCAATGTCCATGTTTGTGATGGAAAGTGGTGGAAAGAACACAATTTACACCAGAACAATAAAATTAACAGAATCGTTTAGTTGTTCAGGATAATTTCCAGATCTATTTTCAATTAAAGCAAATTACATGTCAAAAAAAATGAGATTACTATTTCTTTCACTGAATAAAAGGAAAGCAGGAAGTATCTTTAAATACATAATGTATCAATAAAAAAACATAATTGCAAACACTACTGCATGTTCACACAGTTAACAAAAGTTTTAGATTTCCAATGAGATTGAATGACAAATCCCTTTAGTCATTGAAAAGTAGGGACGAATTAGGAAGTAGTTAAAATAAATTACATTGACTGCAAACAAAATGAAATGTAGTGGTTGAAATATGAATTGAATTCCACATTACCTTCAGCCTAACAATAGCTTGAAATAAAATTAGAGTATCTTTATCTGGAAATTTTGTGGAAAACCTAGAGAACCACTCTATTTAGAGGACAGATTTGTTTACTACATACATTTCACAAACCAAATTTACATTTTACACATAGAAGCGCATTAAAGATTAAATAATCCAAGTCTTATCTTAGATTTATGCAAGTATTGTGTAATACAGGCGTAGTAAGATTTTAAAATGTGATACATTAAAGAATTTGTGTCCGAAACGTCTTCTATGAAAATCGGTACATCTTTTGAATAGGTTGTGTGAACCATGGACGAATAAACATCTTCTAAATACTTCTAGGATGTGTGTGGCATTGACTGTGATCTGGAGTCTGCGGAGGAAATCCAGGGTTGACTTGATCAGCTCCTGCTGGAGCGATGCTACCAAAGCAATTTGGATTGGCCCACAAGATCAATGTCAATGTACTTTACAATTACAACTCTAGTTTTAAAGGTACATTAAATGTCCATTTATGTACAGGTTTCTTTAGTTAAGAAAGAATTTCCCTTATTTCTAAAGTTTGGGCTTCTTCTCGTCTTCCTGTCTTCAAATTTGGCTCTCAAAAGCAGTGCTGCAAAATGACTCAGCAGGCCAGGACTCATTCTAAGTATAATTTCAATGCTTTGCTACGAAAATCAGGATCTACTTGTGCGTATACCAAGTTACAATGAATTGTAATGCTTTCTGAAAACTGATCCCTGCAAGTATCAATTGAGCTAGTAATCTTTTTGGTGGATACCGACGGAAATCATGTCAATGGACTGTTTGTATGTATGGGTGAAGTCAGCCAGATAACAGCGGTTGTGCATACATGGAGACGTCATCTGAGTGGAACTCTGTCAAATGGCATTCATCCTTTTAAGGTTGGCGCCAGCAAAGTCACAAAAGGGGCAAAGTTTATGACAAATTTTGCCAATCATACACAACAGTACAAAAGAAAGCAGGCTTACACAATTGCACAGATGATCAGCTCCTTTGCCAAGTGGACCTTTGCTATGATGCCAAGTGGACCTTTGCTATAAAGGATTCATCGCTGATGACCCCCCCCCCACACCAAGATTAATCCATGGGTTGACATTCCTGCTGGATTTAAGTAGCACAATTATGTTAGGGTGGGGTGGTGACGACCTTCCAAAAGCCTTTTATCAGCTCCGGTATCAATCAGAGCAATTCAACCATGCGGCCTAGATTGACTCTGCCCCCTGGGGATTCTTCCATGTACCTGGAAATCCAAGGGAATGGTTCCCTGGGAACTTTGTATCAGTTTTATACCAGAGATAACACGAGTGATATTTCCTTCCTTCTGCCTCTGCAGTTTCCCGGCCCGAACATGTTCCCTTACCAAATTGTATACTTGACTGCATGATCATGAGCATTACCACTAGAAAATTGACTAATGCCTGAGCATCAGTAAACAAAATGACTAATCATAATCTCCCACGCAAAACCGGGCCAAACGGGTCAAGTCGGCAAACTGGTTACTTTCCTAGCTGAGCCTAAGGATCGCTCATTTCATTACCACCCCAAAAAAGATCAAGCACATCAAACAGTTCAAAAGTCTTCAAGGATCATGCAAGTAACCCCGTTTTATAAGTATTATACAGTTTTTTAAAAGAATGTCGTCTGAACACCTCAAACATGGCAACAAGTGTAGATTTGGAAAACAGAGTCAGCGTGATCACTTGCAGGAAATGACTTGTGGACTCAGCTGGTGCCAGCGCTGCTGCATCCGTTGCTGACGCTCATTCTGCAGGCTCAGTCTAAATGCAAAACAAATGTATAGTAAAGAGTTCAACAGCAGATCCCCAAGTTGTGTGACTCTTGCCTTCATTGAGTGACTCACCAAGATATCATTTGTGGACCGGAAGTTGTTATTCTTGCCACAAAATTGCAAATAAAAAAAAGGCAAGATATGATGAACAACTTTTCATATATGTATATATGTATAGCCAAATGCCACAAGTGATGATTCGCAAGAGTCATTTGATCCGTATTTGTACAGAACATGCATTTCTTACTGCAATCTCACATTTCTATACACACCACGGCCTGCCCAAGGGACAATATTTGTGACCACAACAGGCCTGCACAGTGGCAAAATTTAAGTTTAACATGCTACATGTATCTGCACCTACAGATTTCTCATGTTTTGAATATGTAAAGAACAAATGAGGCATTAACATGTTCAGGTGCCCGACCGGAGGTGAGTGAAGGCATACTTGAAATCTCATATGTTAGCCGTGCCAATGTTTACACATAGCCAGATCATGTTTACGCGTCCTCCAGCACAAATTGGTTTAGAAATCATACTTAACTTGCACTGGTATGCTTCTCAAACAGCAACATGTGAGTGACCTACTGTACAACCTGTTGTCAGTAAAATTTAGGTAATATCTGGTGTACATAAAATGGTTCTCCAAACAGGGATATTCCACATCACAAAGCTTTGTAAGATACACCTTGCACTTATTCATTAAAAAAAGAGGCTTGTGCCTGCACGTGCGTTTATGGTGTGCTACACATGAACAATGAAGGACAAATGATCATTTACAGGTTATTATATGCAGGAAATTGACCATAAATTTGATTAAGTGGTCTCCTTCGGGCAAACGATTAGTGTCGCATTGTACCAATTCTACTGACATGACGTCAAATGGACTGCGTGCGCGTGTATGACTGAGCTCAGATGCCCCACCTGTGAGTAATGCTGCCATTCTGTGAAATGGGGTACTTGTATATGGACCAATTATGCACTATACATCAAGTGAGTCTACAGCGATTACGGGGAAATTATGTTACCTATTTGAAAGCATCCAGTCAAACCGCTTCTGCACCGTAACATGTAGGCTGTACGGCTGGGGGTGTACTGGGTTCTTTATGAAGGGATCGAGAGCCGGAAAAGAACGGAGAGGAAAGACAAACATGTTGCTGCTGTCCCGTGTCTCCTCCAAGTCTTCACTGGCTTCCCTCACACCTGTGGAAATTGGGAAAAATGCAACAGATGTCTTAATATAATCCTGACTCACCAGGTGCAGTTTCAATTTTAATGCAATCTGGCTGGATTGATCATGGCTAGGTTTAAAGAAAAAAAGAAAATGGTTTACGTTTGAGGACCAGATGTTACCCCTAGCTTCCTTCCCTTGTGCTGGGTTCTGTATGTTTAGGATTAAAGCAATCTCTACAATCTCTTCCATTCTTAGAAACAATCTCTCCATCTTCATTTGTTGACAAAATTCTAATTTAATGTGATCTACAATATCTGTACCTGTCTGCAGTGTAACCATGATGAATTTCAATGAGGGTGCCTGGGGGTTGCAGGCATTTTTTTTCAAGAGCTTACTGCATGGAAGCAAATTAAATACGCTGTACATTTCAAAATGTCAATTTGGGGTTGATTGGGGTGCAGATTTATGTTGGGAGGCACGTGCTGCCCCCATAGTTATACCACTGCCGGTTAGGCAGCCAGAACTGTTGTTTCTTGACTGAGATCCTTGGCACAGAGCCAATTGTGCATACAGACATCACTCTTTTTCAGGTCTAGCTAGTAGCTTATGTCTGACAATTTTTTCTCCTCTTTTTCATGCCAGCCCGGAAATCCAGTCATAACATTGGTGTGTCACTTCCCACTGTATGGCACTGACTTATTGGACTTCATCTTGAATCACTTGACAATGCACATCTCAAGACAGTTCGTCAGCTGACCCACTTTTGCTAAGAAACTTTTTTCCAGCAATGTTGTCAGTTGACTGTGAACTGCATTCCAAATGCTATACAGCAGAGGAAGAAAGTTCTAGCAAGATGAGAGCAACTCACAAGACATATTTGACCCAGAACATTCTTTTTTCCATCTGCTGTTATAATGCAAATGTAAGAAGGTAACTATTTATTTGGATATTCCCCCCCACACACTTTCATAAAAATAATAAAGGGTGATAATATGCAATATCATTAGGTAAATTGCTATCTCTCTAGCTAGACAGTGATTGCCATTTGTGTTACTTTAAATGCAATCTTGTTTTGTTATTGATCGTAAATGTAATGTCAATGAATGTAATAACTGTTTTGTAACAAGCCAATGCAAAGTAAATTTCTATGTGAATTTTTGCATGGACAGTAATAAATTTGGATCTTGAATCTTGCTCATCTGCTTAGCCAGGCCATCTAATTGGCTGTTAAATTGGTTACAAATTTTATTATGTGTGACTTGTTTGAAATATCTGCCATGCACAATGGGGAATGTGTTTCCTGGTCAGATTGTGGTGTCAACATCAGAGCATATTTTGGATTACTACCTTTGACATAAAGCATGTTTGCGTTGGCTGCCGGTGTCAGGACTGGTGGGACCACAGCCGTCAGTCTGCAGTCTGCCTCTCGCAGTGCTATGACGCACAAAGCATGGCCCCTCCGCACATCCACCAAACTCACTTCACCGCCTCCATGGACCACTACAACCTGTGATGGGGGGGGGAGGGAGAAACACAAGTTTCCCCAGAGGAAAAAAGTCAGAGGCAGTTCGGTTTGGATCAGAACCAGCATGCGGGATAAGTCACACCAGTTCACTTTGATCTTTAAAAACCACAGGTAATGACTATCATCGGCTAGATATCCGGAGACGGAATTTGAGGCTTTTAAGGTGGGAGGGGTTGCACGTAGATATATTTGCCAGCACAGTCACGGTAGAGGCCACTTTTTAGCAGGGGGTTTACAGTATGTGGGATGTGTAATAAGGGATGTACATAAGGAGTACATGAGGGTATGTAGTGAGGGGTATATCACGAGGGGCATATGAGGGATGAATTGAGAAATATTGTGAGGAGATGGGGATATGGGGGTGTACCAGAAGTTACTAGGGTACATTATGTAACGACAGGTATTATAATGACAAAAATAGCCTTTACAAGAATGATTTATAATGGTGTGTGCCTGGTGGTCAACATTTGTCCCCTTTGATCAGGGGGTAAGAGGTTCAAATCAGGCTACTGGCTTTTTGTTGAGCCCTCAGGTGAGTCAATTTATCACCAAGTTTACCGGAACTTTCTTCTTCAAGATGCACATGGCCATGCATGGGGATCTGCATTAGCTGAAACTGACTAGACTGGCAAGCCATTTTGTATGTTTTAAAACACATTTCTTATGGAATGCAAAGTCCATATCTGTGCAAGTACATGTAACACATTTTTAAAGCTGACTTTCTTAAAAGATGGCAAAATTGAATTAAAGGGCACCTCTAAGTAAAACAAGTTTTCTCTGGTTTTATCTGTTCAAATAAATACAGAAACATCCAAATCAAATGCAGTGTCATTTGTTTTAAGAGCTCAAGTATAACAAGCTTAAAAGGTTTTTTCTGTTCATGCCAAGATGCGAATTCTGAATGTAGATTGCGTCAACCAGAGAAAACAGAAAATGAGGGAAGCCCTCGCGCTGTGTTCGTAGTGGATAAACACTAAATGTGCATGCCAAATAATGGCTAAATGCATCGTTTGAAATGCACAAGGGTTTATCCACTACGAACACAGGGTGAGGGTTCACAACTTTTCAGAACTTAACTCATCATATTTGCACTGGATATTACCTTGGTTACCAAACAACCCAACACATACATGTATGTATAAAATTAATTCTGGGTATTATTTGATTTGATAAGTCAGTTGGCTGTGGGAGAGATTTTCTGAGAGGCACCGAACATTAACTAGCACATGAATGCTATGTGAGCTTTGGTAACACATCCATTATACTGGCCCTCTTACCCTGAAGTTACTGGACAGAAATGCATGCTCCTTGAATTGCTAGTCAGGCCAACACGTGTTACATGCGCAAAATGGCTGAGTCAGTCCCACACAGTGCACAGCCTACGTGTACATTTCACTACTGGAGAGGAAATTCAATTTCACCACTCAAGAAAATAACCTCCAATCTATGACGATCGGTTGCTTGTGTGACTGAATCGGGCAACCAAGTAGTGGCGTAACTATGGGGGGAGGGGGGATATGTGCCCCCCACGGAAGCCCCCCTCCCCATTTGAAATTTTGAAATGGACAAAAAAATATATACCTACTTCAATTATTTTCAGTGCCCTCTGAAAAAAACTTGTGCACCCTCAGGTGCCCCCTCAGCCGTATCACCCTAGTTACGCCACTGCAACCAAGTACATTTGGCACAAGTGTACAGCATTCAGAACACTGAATACAGCATCCACTGAACACATATTTGCATAAATATATACATATCCTATGGAGAACATATGTAATTAAATGGATTTAATTCCTGCGTCTCAATAATTCCAGATGTCTCTCATAATACATGTAATTGAATGGATGTACATGTACAGTGTAAGCCTGCATCTCCTTTTGGACAGGAAAAAAAGTAAATGTACCAACTCAAGAAGATGACGAAGAATGGATGTACATGTGATTAGGATTCTTTTTAGAATTCCACGAATGAACAAACTTTTTTTCAAGTTTTTTTTAACTTAAATACATTTGCTGAAGATGAAATCAAAACTGGTGCTCTCCTAAGCCATGTGTCTGTCCAGTAGTGAAAAATCCCCTTTCTTCCGCTGGGGGGGGGGATAAAATCACCCTCTCTTTCACATTTTGTATTAAACTCTTGACTGGGTCCAGTCATTTTTGAGTAGGGGTCTGCAACAAGTAGTACATTAGGGTAAGATGTCTGATTGGCTGGGAGTTCCATAGGACTCTGTGCTGTTGTTTGTACTGTATGCTAATGATTTACAACTTCATATCTCATCCACTCTTGTACAGTATACATTTGATACATTTGTTTCTAGAAATATCTCTACTGATCACTCTGATCCAGTTCTCCAAAATAATGACTTGAATACTATTGAAGAGTGGGCCAAGTCCAATTGCCTTAGGCTGAATACTGAGGAATTCAAAGTGACGCGTTTGACATGGCGTCAACTTCCCAAACCTACATATCATCTTGGAGGCTTTGATTTGGAGTGTGTAAGCTCCCTTAAGCTTCTTGGCTGCTTGATCCAAAGTAATCTGTCTTGGATTTGCATGTTCAGGATATCATTTCAAAGCGTAACTGACTTATTGGTCTGATATGTTTGGTGTCGGGTAATTGCCACACTAGTGTACGAAGTCCTTGTCTTGGCAATATTAGACTATTTTTCACCTGTATGGTGGATTCATAGCAAAAGGCCTATTGGCTCAATTTAATCTGTTCAGCGTAGGGCTACCCAAATGATACTGCGACAGAATTACATGGAACAAAGCTACCAGGATAGACTGCATAACTTGGCTTGATGACTCTTTTTAACAGAAGATTTTTTTGAATACAAGTTTTACGGCTAAACTTTTAATCTCTACTAAAAACAAATTTTATTCTGGACTTTCTGAATCTGTTACATGTTAATGTAAGGCACAAGGACATGCTTACTTTTCATCATTTAAATCCCAGGACTAATGCTTTTAAGTACAGTACTATTGTTCGTTTTCCCAAGATATTTTCCAAACTTGATGGAGATACCGGTACCAGGAACAGTTTGATTCTTAAGTGGGTGCTGGGGCCTTTAGATCAAACTTAAGGGAAGATCTTTAATCTGATTAGTTAACAGTGTTTTTTCCATTTGGCATACGATTTATTTTGGATTTCTTGATGAGCTTTGTTCCTTTTTAATGTTTATTGGTTTTGTTGTCAAACTGGATGTTCTACCCAATGTTTTTCATTTTCCATTATTTTAGCATCTGCACATTATGATTGTCTCATTTTATTAAGATAAATGATTTGATATATGATCTTGCCTGATTTTTTTATCAGAATCTGTTAATTGTCTTTATATAGAAAGGGGATATCATGGGCTACTCTTTTTATTAAAGCTTTTTAGTGATTTATTCTTAGCTGTTGTTATTTATATATGGGTATGGTCAAACAGATCATTTAATGACAGTTTTATACTTTTGTTTGACCTTGACTTCCCCTTTTTATTATTTATCTGACTAAAGAGGTAAAATAAATAACAATAAAATAACTAATGGACCATTCAGTTCTATCAACATGACTGCAAAAGAGAGATAAAGGTATAATTAAAGCATGTAATATGAGGTTTCCTTTTCGACTATCTGGCCCTTTTCCAAGATTAATAATTGAGCAACACTATTCCTGTCTTCCTGTTGCCACATTCTTGCCAATTTTTTTCATGGCGAAAACTTCACATGCATGTTAAGAATAGACACAAACTTCCTGTCAGAATATCCTTGGTGTTTTCACCAGAAATAGAAACAAACAATAACGAATAATAGGCCATGCATTAATGCATGATGTCACTGATACTGGGGAGAAATCCATTTCAATGGCCCATGGGTGAATAACTAGTCAATAATATACTGTCGTTGTGCATGTTGCTCTATCTGTCGTCAACTCAGGGTGGCATATCCAGGACGTGGTGATTACACGGACACTGACGTGTTGTCTAAGGTATCAAAGTACTTAAATGGCACTTGATGAAAGAGTCTGCTTGATACTGGAGCTACTCAGAAGCAGCACAGTAGTGGTTTCCCATCATTTATACCTGGGATACTGTAGCTCATCAATTTAAAGAAAAATCTGATCTGCCCATGACAAGCATTAACCTACTCCAAATTCTCTTGCCCTGGACTATATCTCTTCCACTGTCTCGGGGCTAACTTGGGAATGATCTTTCAGAAGTTTTTGTCAGTGACATCTCTGGACCTGAATGCCAACAGCTGCAGTGCCAACTTCTTAGATCTTAAAACAGTCTTAGTTGGACAAAAGAAAAGAGAGCTTTTGTGCAGGAATCTCTTTCCACTGCTTCCACTGCAGTGCTCAGATGGTCAAAGTGGGTAGGCCAAGAGATTAGTTCTATCAAAGGACTGCCTTAGCAGCATCGCATCTCAGTGCCAAGTATTCAACATCAAAAACAAGACAAGACCCACCAAGATTCCATACTGGCACAAAAGACTAGGATAATCTGAGCAGTTTGCCTGAGCCAGTCACTAGATACAGCAGCTCATCCGCAGGCAGAGTAGGAGCAGAAAATGTTGAAATACTGTGGCTGCCCAGCCCTGAAATCCATCAGCCTAGAACTTTGCCATGTAGAGTATGTATTTTCCACAATGCTTTGCTGTGACATAATGTGTTACTCCATTGTGCGCTCAATGTTACCTGGCAACCACACCGGAGACCTCACCCCCCCATAATCAAAACAATTCCCACCATTGAAAAAAACCAAACCACACACATGCCATTAGGACCTTTTCTCACCTCTCCCTCCATCCAACCAGTCCACCAGCAAGATCAAAAAAATTATAAGAAAGCATCTCTAAAATCATGAATATTCATACTCTGTTGGACCATTCCCACTGGAACAATAGCATTCCACTTGAATATTCCTGCATCACTGGAACGGTGCACTTTGTGCATCCATAGACAGTTCCAAGGCAGCGTTCCAGTGGGAATGCTGTGTTCCCAGTGGAACGGCCACTCCTTCTGGAATGAGAAAAGGGTGTTCCAAATGGACAGTTCAAATTATGAAACAATCCCTAGTAGTGCTGCATTCAGATCCATCACAAGTCATTCCATTCAGTCTCAAGCCAATTCCCAAGCTACCAGTATTAAAAGGAACTGTGACAAAAGCATTCTTTTGTCATTGTTCACCCTGTTATTTATGACGGATCCCCAAGTAAATAAAAATTGAGATGTAAATCACAATTATACAACCTACTGTTTGAAATAAACAACCACAAAAACTGAAGCAATCACTGTTAACACAGACACAAACATCTAAAACTCGAAGTTGCAATACCAGTGATCCTCTCATAGTAAAAAATAGAAGACATGGACAAGATTGAATATTTTGAGGAACATGCTTTTGCCAAAGTGTGGTTAACGACACATACATGTACCATCATATATCCCTGCCTAAAGATAGAAATTTAGAAAGGACACAAAAGAGAAAGAGAATGTAAGATGTGCTAGCTATTTCTCCCACTAGTGCAACATCTTTCAATAATTTTGTTCCCCGAACTCTAATTGTACACCCACCCTCCAAGCTCATGTAACTGGTATGATGACCTTATTACGTATACTTTTTGGTCTGGAACCACACCCTCTTAACAAGGGCTCTTATGAAATTTATGTACCTACCACTTGAGGGATACCAGTCAGAGGCTGCACAGACACCACCCTCTCCTTACGATCGTTGCAGGCTGGCTCAATGACCCGCAGTGACACAGCACCCTCGTAGCCACACCGCACCACAGAAATGCTGCCATCAGAGCAGCAGGCCATCAGGTGTGTGTCAGGGGTGGCTGAGGGCTCCCTGGAGGGCCCCTGGGCAGGGGAGATGATGCTGGGGTTAAGGAAGTGGACGTGAGAGACTGAACCAGCTGCTGATAGTCTCTGCACCGCCTGGGGCAGACCTGTCGAATTAACCAGCAAGAAAGAACACAATACATGACTAAAGAGGCCATATGCCTGCAGCTTGAGCCATTCTTTGAGAAGTAGTTCAGTGGAATGTCCATCATTTGTTCATTATCACAACTTATCCAGTGGAAAGAGGTGATGTGCAATTCAAATGAAGCATTGCTTTTTCATCTTAGATTCTGTTACTTGTGAAATATCTCTTTGACTGCAAGATTGTGAGAACGTACTAAGCAAATTATTCAGAAAACATTTTACAGTGTCATTTGCTGAACAGATGAATGTAAACATTACAATTTTTTTATAACAATGGTGTGCCTCGCACAAACCCTTCAAAAAAGAAGAGTGCTGGTACTGGTAGTCTTACCCATGTGTTGATCATAGATGGTCAGGGTACCATCTCCATGACCTACAGCAAGGAGCGATGTACATGGTGAGGCAGCAAGACAGGTGATGTCACTGCCAAACGGCCATACAATGTCAGGCTTGTGCTCAAGATCTTGACAAGGAGAACATGAACAAGAATGGTTAAGTGGATTACATTTGAACTTAGGAGTAGCGTCTCCAAAAATGTGAAAAAATAATCAAGCAACCAGTGTACATGTAGCTCTATCTTATGTTGACAGCAGTTTCACTTTATATTTTGGGCAGGGAAATTTAAGGCCTAAAACATGCCTCCCTTGGCTAACATTTAATGTGCAGTCTAAATCAGATGTCAGATGCCAAGCTTTCTGCTAGGATGCTTACAACATTTTGCAACACGTTTGCTTCATATTTGAATTTAATAAAGGCATGTACAAAAGGCATTCAAGCATAAAAATTATCATCTTTATAGTTTAACCCCTTCACGGGCGGGATTATTTTGACTGCGACTGCTGGGCTGTGGCATGCCATGAATGGAGGGTGTTGTCCAGCAGCAGGCCCCATTGAACCAGCAGCTGCATGGTGAATAGACTGTATGTGTGGTATGCACTAATGCTCATACAAAGGTGCTGTAGTAGCAGTCATCAGCAGCGAAGGGGTTAAATCACTTAACTGTTAACTGAGGTCAGAGTCAGTGGACTGACTGGCCTGTAATGTGTTATGAAAATTTCTAAGACTCATTATTGGCAGAGTAAAGATGCCCAAAATATCAAAAACAGGTAATTAAAAAATTTGTTTTGGGTATTTGTGCCTTGAAGCAGAATAATTTGTTTCCCCTGCATTTTGTAATGTGGCATATTGGAATGTTCTGATTGGCAAAAGGTGCAAAGCTGTGCAGCTGTGCATGGTGTGATGGGTTCCACAGCAAGTGCTACAAAATGTGGAAGTCTGTAAGGTCTGAGTCTTGATGATATCAAGAGTTGAATGAATGTTTTATGATAGGCTCATCCGGTAATCAGAAGTAGACAACAAAATTACTGTAGGGGCGCCATGCTCACGTATCTGGTATATAAAGTGATATGCGTGCACTAGGTACATGGACTTCTTTGACCAAGTTGCCTTCTTCACAGGAAAGCCATTTCTAAAGTCTTGTTCCATGACTATGTTTAATAATTTGTAAACTGTTGATCAGACTAATTTATGACAGGCATGAATTATATTTTAAACTGCCCTTCCAATATTTTCAAAATCTTGCTTAAAACACTGAGGTATGTTTGATTAGAAATGTGAAATTATTCATCAGATTAGATGATTAACTGTTTGAAGAGTTAATCTTGCTTTCAACCTGGCCAACCCATGAATAAATTAGGGTGTTGAACTTGTATTGCCAAAAAGTATATGCTCCTCAATTTGAAGAGTGTGGCATCTCATCTGTCGCTGCAGTAATGACATCTCCTAATCATAAGACTACAGTTTATAAATTAAACTCTAAACCATTGATTTACAACTCTTAATTGCCTCACACAGTGACTGTCAAGACTCCTGAATGTCCCTGTCCATTTAAACCATTTGATCAGATGGATTATCCTCTATAGACTAAATCAGGGTAGGACTCTTTGAGGTAGCTGCTGTCTGTTTGAGAGTTGGCTCTGAATTAGTCAGACCCGGCTCAAATGGTTAACAACAGGACATGCACTAACCATGGCAAAAATGTAACAGCCAGAGGGATAATACAGTTAATAATCTAGTGGTAACAATACTGACTCCTTATAATGTGTTTTTTGCCACATCAAAAGCAAAATTGTATGCATTATTTTTAAGACAGAACGCTGGGCAACATAGTTACACATCTTGTAATTTTGTTCCCCACCAAGCCAACGTGAAACCACCTATTTGATGTGTTAAGCCAATTAAAGCAATTACAGTATCAGGGATGTTTCAACTGCAATCTTTCCCCTAAGGTGACATAATACATGTACATTCAATAGGTTTTTAGATGGATTACGCAGACGTCATTTTTTTTACCAGCTTATGATGCAAAAACCTTGTACAAGGCATTTTGTTCCTTTTGTTGCGTAAGTCAAAATACCCACACTGTCTGATCAGAATCCTACGGACTAACAAACGTAAGTTTGTAGCCAAGTTCTCATATGGAGATTAACTGGCCATAGACGACGAAAAGCAAGGAAATGGATGATGAATTCTTACTCTCTGCAAAGTTTTTAATTAATTCATTATGAAGTGCCAAGGATGCACTTGGTGTCTGTGTTTGCAAAGCTAAAAATGTCTCAACCCGGGTGAGTCGTAATGATGCACTGATGTAGTTACCCAGGTATGGACAGATTACATGTACATGTATATGGGCACAGTAGCTGTTTTGCTAACTGCACACCACATGTAGCTAGAAAATGCCCTCTCTGTACCATCTGAATATCACTAACTGTGGAAAAAGTAGGACTGTGACCAGGGTACCTTTTCCATTTCCTTTGGAGGGGGGGGCTGGTGGTTTTGTTTCTGTTTTGCTTGTTTCTTTTTGGACTTGTTGGGAGTATGTCTTGAAAAGAAGAGTACGTTTAGGCAGCTTTAAAAAAAATGGCAGGCCCTGGTCTCTTTGTGACAAGGCATTCCCAAGTCAATTTGTGATGTACAGTCACTTCCCTTTTCCTGTCTTGCAACTGCTGAGGGCAGTATTTACTCATCATACATACATTCAATGACGAGTGAAGCTGGAGGAGAATTTGCATTTACAGTGGATGCAAAGCTCACGTTTATTGAGACTCCTTTCGAATCATGTGGTTTGGCAATGTTAGGAAAATTTCTGCTCGCATTCAGGCTTACTGTATCACAATTTGTGACAATGGCAACTGGCTATGAACATGTACTCATGATGTGAACGCACAACACACCTTCCCCCAGAATACAAATAGTGATTCTTACTAGTGCTCTTGGCAGAAAAACCTGGTAATGAAAATGTCAACACAAAAAGCAGTTACTGGCACATGAGGAAACACATCAAAACATCAAATCTGTAAACAAATCTCATCATAGAAGGTGCAACACTCTTAACCAGAAGATCTAGAGACACTATGAGTGCTTTTTTAGATTATTGATGATTTCACGGATACTTTACTCACAACTGACATGAAACTAACCACGATTTGTCTTTCATCACCAGCTACTCACCTGATGTTGTTGAACGCCGATCATTGTTACCTTTGCATAAATCAATGGAAATTGTTTCCTTTGTTTATTCATAACACTTGTTGAAGGTCTGTAAAAACATTTTCAATGAGCAATTTTGACAACAACCTAGGGTTCTTAGGAACATAAACGTGTTTTAGAAGTTACATGGCCACACCCTTGTTTTGAAACTAGTCTAATCTCGCGATAAAATATACCTTTCAGTCAAACAGAAATTCAGGAATCACAGATTTGATGAATGCAAAATCGCCATCTCTTAGGTCTGAATGGACATCGTCGCTATTAAAGGGGGGTTTAAAACAACAAAGATTCGTTTCATAAGACATAATTCAACAGAAAAAAAAATTTGTTGACGCCTCTGTTGAAAAATCTCATGTGTGAAATGGCAATGAACTCCAACAAATGAAACATTCATTTTACTTGCCTTGGACATGGTCGAACATTTTGATTACTAAACCACAAAACTATTCAGTGAGGCTTTCTAGTTGTTGTTTTTGCTATTCCTGGAACTGCCTACTGTATTTTGTTAACTCTAGTATCTTGGGATGTCTCTCTCACCTTTGGACGATTTAAGGAGATTATAATGGCAGATGTTGGTACTTCCTGTCCAGGCCACAGCCACACTGTTGGGCCGATCATTGCTGGCCTCCAGGCCAGTGACCAGTAGGAAGCTTGGGTTGAGGAAAATGCACAGGGACCGAGGGCTGCAAGTGACAGGTAGGAAGGGTGAAGGAATGGTTGTCACTTGCTGTACATGGACCTCTTGCACAACTACCCTTCGTGGCTTAAAAAATATCTATAGCACTGAAGATGCCAGTTCACAGCATTTCTCTGGTGCAATGATTCCTAAATGGTGTGTCGTGGTACAGTGTGCACTTGGCAACAAGGCATTCATGCGAAGACCATACATTTCAACTGCAATTGGTCGCGTGTGCTCAGCAAGTCCTGTGAATATGAAAGCATAAAGGACACCAAGCTGACAGGGACATGAGGGTTATGAAAAATGTTTTGCAACAATGCCTGGTCTTGGATTTTAGTCAAAGCAATTTGAAAAGAAACTGGCGAAGTTCTCAGTCCACATTGTCCAGTTTTCTAGGCCAGGCTCTGTGTATTCTGTGTCGTACATGTAAACCACTCTGAGTGTGCCACACAGTACAGTTTGCTAATCCCGGACTGGGTCCGTACCAGCTCAGTGCTAGACTTTGTACAGCGTCCATTTTAATTTGGCACGGTGCTAATGTGAATAATATACCCACCAGGCCTTGTCCTCTTGCTCTGGCAGGAACCGCAGCTGGTCCTGGTGCTGTTGCTGAAAGACCTGCCTGCGTTTCTCCAGGTGCTGGTCGGTGATCAGGTGTTGTTTGGTGCCCAGACCCACCACCTGACCTTCATCAATGGCTCGGAAGAGAGAGGAAACAGAGCCAGTCACGCCTACAACACAAAGCACCAAAGGTATTTGGAATAAGCCAAGGTCACATGATTGAGTTGTAGCTTTGCTTTAGCCGATGACGACCTCTTGCACCTTTCTGATTTGACACAAGTTCGAATTTTAGAGGCATATTTTCAAAGAAAATGGTGATTTCTGAATTACTTTGCACCTTGCTTAAACGAGAATGGGATATTGTGTGCAGGTGGTGTGGAAATTGCAGAATATACCTTGGTAATCCAGGGGAAAAATTCAGGGAATATCGGTCGCACTTCTGTTCTACGTCAATAATATACACTACTGCAGGTTACATTTCACAGCCAACAACAAGGCTTCAATGCTTCTACAGCAAGCATCCGACAGCGTCTTCATTTGAAGAACTGAGGGATTTGCATGCACAACCCGTTGTGGGATCTGAGGTTGTGCAAAAGTAATCTGGCAAACACATTGGACAGTTCTGAGAAATGCTGAGACTACATTTTAGTGAAGTACCGGAAGAGGCTTCCTTGACATGAAGAATACAAAAACACTGTCTGAATTATTCAGCCATTCCTGGAAATAACAAACAAGTCTATGGAAAAAATATTTCCCTGCTAGCTGTGCCTGCCGCTGTCAAGTTTTTCAGATGCAGTGACTTTTTTTTCAACATCCAGTCTGCTAATGAATCCTCAGCGTTCTCCATGCACACCTGTTAGGATTGCCGGCGGGGGCCTGACTCTCAGTACCATGCTGGGTTTTGACAATTGAGACAAGTTCAGGTTGGGTACTGCCACAGCTGCTACCGTGCTAGCAGCAGCTGCCCCTGGGTGGGGAGTTGGCGAGCCCCTGGGGGAGCCTGATGAAGTGGACTGCATGGATAGGAAAGAAGATAAAAAGGGAATGATGAGATATCAGAGCAAAGTAATGACTCGTGTACTTGTTCCTCATCTGGGAAACATGCCACTTTAAGAACCAGTTCACATTTGGTGCAAAAGTAAACTTAAATATGATTTTGTGAAGTCATATTACATGTAAGTATTCCCCCACAAATTTACCAAAACTGAACTCATTTCAACTCAGTGAATTTCCAGCAGACACTTTGTGATGTCAAATTTGCTTTGAGCAAGAGTAAAACTAAGCCCAAATGTGTCCAAAGTGAAGACCCCCAAAGCACGGAATTGCTCTACAGAGCAATATTACAGTAACTCAATCAAATGCGTGATGCACATGTGCATGATTAAGATGTTGCATACATAACAACAGCTGGCTGATCTGAACGTTCTGCTCGACTTTGGTCCCAATCCTTTACAAACTGTGAATTTCAATACTGTGCTGTACCTTTGCTGTGTCGGTTGTAATACCCTCTATAGATGTAGCCATTTCTATGCTTGAGTCCTGTCAACAGCAACGTAAAAAGTTTTGTTTCAGTTTGTAACACGTAAGAACTATTCACTGGTTTTCTTCAGAATATGTAACTGTCAGAAATTTTTGTTAAATGCTGCATGCTTAGAGACCTGTCATCAAGATTTAAACATGCAAGGCCTGACATTTGTGTTCTAGCTAAATCTCTTCACAGTACTTTTAGCCCCTCCAGTCCTTCAGCTCTGAAGAACTGTTCATCAAAAGCTGTAATGGTAGTCACCGCTGCTTCTGGCAGGCAGGGGAAATCCATCAATCAGGTGTTAATCATAAATCTCAACATCTATTACCAGTTTGTCAACCTCTGCAGGCTTTGTCGCTTGTTGTTGCTGCTGCTGCTGTTGTTTCACTGCATTGCTGTGGGCAGTCTCAAATTCCCGCAGCCAATTATCTCTGGGTAGATGCCAAACATCCAGCCAAACATCTGATCCAGCTACAAGGTATAAAAAATCCAATACTGCCTTTTGAGAAATGCTTAAACCTACAACCAAAACATTGGGACGTTTTAAAAAATTTAACAACAATGTTTCACCAAACATGTTAAAACTTATAACATGTACACAGTGCAACAAAACTCAAAAGAGACAAAACAAATATTTTTGCGTAACTGAAACTTTGACACAAATTAATGTTCCGGAAAAGAACTGTTGGACTGTTCATGTGGCCTTTAGAATGACACAAAGTTCGATGAGTTCTTAATAATGGCAGAGGCTAACCGGTATGTTCTGACTGCTATAACCATTTCAGTTTGGATCAACATTGTTTTCATAGAAAATACTTTCCACACAGGAGTACCTTTTGGCCAGGATTTGTAAAAGAATATACTTACTCTGAAGACCAACTGATACATAGTCTCCATCACTGGAGATGAATGAGTTAGTGACAACAGACCCAGCAACATCCTCATTGAATGTCTTAATAGGATGAATCATCTCAAAAGCTGAACACAGCAGCCTTCCAGTTCCTATCATGAGAATGGCAAAGCACATGTGAAACAAAATAAGCAAACTGTTTTCAGCCGGCGAGGCAGCTTAACTTTAATGCAAGCAGGGTGTTGCCCGTCCGCCTTGCAATATTATGAGATCAGGAAAAGCAGGAGCAGCACAGGTATTATTGGTAAATATGAGGTCCTCAATTGGTTGTGGAGAGGGATGCCTGAAAAAAAGGGGACTACATGTACATGTACGTTTGCATTTATTTTCATACCAGCCGTATCTACAGCCACGATGAGGTATGTCTGCACTCCAATCAGGCATACATCAAGAGAGCAGATGCTGACACCTTCTGTCCCGTGTTCCCATGATGTAATGGGTGCCTGGGTCATTGCATCAATCATAGCAATGCCTTGAGGCATTCCAAAGAACACATAGCGCCCATCAGGACAGCTGGATGTACACAGTGCTTGGCCATAGTCCTGGACATAAGAGAAAGTTACGGATAACAATGAACAGAATGACACTCAGTTTTAAGAAAACTGAAAAACTGGGTTTGAAAAATGATTGGGAGAGAGGCTCCCAGTGTTGAAATGGAAACCATCACAATAAAAGACACAAATAACAGGGTGAACAATGACAGATGAATGCTTTCATAGGAGTTCCTTTGAATAGGCTGTGACCTGAATTCAAACTGGAGGTCTGGTGTTGGTCTTGTGAGAGTCCAGTGGGATCTTTTTATGGTCTGAAGAGGTCCTGTCTAGAACAATGGAGGCTCAATCTGAGAGACCAATTTATTCCTTAAGACTGTGGCGAATGTGATTTGCAAAATGTATGCTTTAAAAACAGTTCAGTAGAGTCTCTAAGAAAATTAAAGCAGGGGTGAGATTGACCAATGATAAAAATAGATGGATACAGCTGAAAAAAGCATAAAGAAACTGAACCGTGAAAATCTCCTATACTTTTGTACACAGCCAGTTAGGAAAAAAAGAAATCCAAAACAGATAAAGCTGAAATCAGCTAAAAGCTGAGAAATCTCACCCATGTTAAAGGCAACTCATGGGAGTGTTGCAGTTTTTTAGCACTTCGTGGACTGAGTTCAGCACCAGCTTTTAAAACTTTAGTTTTTATAAGCAAAAACTTGCTGACAGAAGGTACACTGAACATGTAGCAGCATTAAAGGGGCATTCCACTTCAAAAATTTTTTAAACTACCAATTTTTTTGGTGGACATCTACCTCAATGCAAGGGCACACATCCCGGAGAATAGGGGATATACTGCATATCCCCCTTCTATACTCACGTTGAAATCCGAAGGAAAAAGCAAAGAGTTTTGTACCACCTAAAAAGTCTCCTAAGGGGACACAGATGTCCACCTATACCGTAACGCTTCACCAAAAACACCTGTGCATGCAAACAACCTTTAATCTAGATGACTCACTGGTAATGGAGTGGCACAATCATACTGTGGGGGCCTGACGCGGGACTTCTCGGCGATCCTGGCCGACTCCCGTTCGCTGATGACCTCCCAGGCCAGGTCAAAGATCAAGTTGACGATCTTATTGACCAGGCGGAACGGCTGGGGAAGAACATCGTACATCTGCTCCGGGTCCCGGATGTAGTCCTCCTCATCACTGGAGCGGTCACCCAATGATTCTGGGGTAATGGACAGGAGGTTCTTGCGCACGTATACTGGCATGGTGATGACAATCTTTAAAAGCAAAAGAAATGCCATAAATACTCTCAAACTATGGTAAGTCAAACTAGGCACATTTTTACCAAAAATTTTAGGCAGGGGGGTAAAGACCTTTTTCACCCATGTGACTAAATGTAAGCAATACCACCACATGTGGACTGTTTTAGCCACGGTGACCCCATATATTCCTACGGGCAGCTGCAACCATGTGCAAGTGCATGCGGGAATGCTGCATGATTGACTAGTTTATCTCAAATACGTAAATTACCATCACAACACTATGCAATCATTACCATCACAACATACTGCAGGTCCAGCATGATCGTGACATCACTGGAAAAAGGTTTATGGGGAGATGCAACTTTCTGTGACATACGGGAACTTTGTGACAAACAAAACAAACCACTACATTACAAGTCAATGGTGTTTTCACCTCACTGTGACCTCAGGTTGAAAAGCTCCCGGATGAACGCATGAAGTTGCATCTGTCCATTGGGGAGAGCTGTGTATGCATGTAGTATGTGGACATTCAATTTCAATCAGCAAAGAGGCAAATTTATCCTTCATGCCATTCAGTAATGTACAGAAGTTCCCAAATGTCTAACCGCGAGAATGTCCACGTAGGCCTACATTGTCATGTCCAGGACTGCATGAGCATGGATCATGGACAATGCAAATAGTTACCCCCTGAACTGTGGCGTCCGACGTCCGTCCCGCTCCCCGTTCGTGGGAGCGGACGTTGGATCCCACAGTTCTGAGGGTAGCAAAAAGGGAGTTTGGAAAACTTACACTTTATAGATTATTACTATATCAGCCTAAAACTTCCAAATGATGCCTGCATGCCACTTTCAAACTAGCCTATACGGGACTGCATTTTTTGTGATCAAAACGTCAGGTAGTTGAAAATTAGCCTAAATGTACACGTCGATCACACATCACGAGCTGACGACGCATCGACGATCATGATCGCATTATAGCAAAGATGTTATAGCGCCGCATAATCTTGGTATTGTACTAGTACTACCGGCTCATCACACGCTGGCTGTGTGACTGGCATAGCAACTGGCAACAGTTACAGCGCCCTCAATAGTCTTACCTAATCCAACTTCACCACGTGCATGCACTTCGTGTGTTTGATTGTGATTGAAGCGCAATGTGAAACATACTTCAAGCATAAACTTGCGACTAGTTCTCATACGTTGCACTTCTCGTGAGCTTAACAACCGTGGTGTGGGGTCCTGCAGACATGTACATAGTACATGTACACCTGTCCATGTAGTGTACATGTATGTGTACATGTATACATTATGAAGAGTACAGTGCGTAAAACGCAAGTACAGCTGGCGGCTAGCTGCTGGGTCAAAACTCTCTCATAAATCACGCATGATTTAATGTTAACTTGGCCCAATCAGACGGTTTCATTTGCACCCATAGCAAATATGTGGTATGTTAAAAAAATCGTGTGAACCCGGCCGCTGCTCCCACTTGCATGGACGACGAATCCCAGAGTACTGGGGGTAATTTTGAGCTGATTTCGTGCTCTTCACTAAATACTAATTAAACTCCTGACAGGCCTTTAATCTAAACTTTATTTTTTGTTAAGTAAGCCGGGCAGCTCTACTTAACTTTTCCCCACTAAAATATTTACCATGTTTGCGCGCGCAACGGCGCAAGTACTTGAAGTAGGCCTAGGCCTACATCATGTATTGTAACATTGCTCAATCTGACCTACCAGCGAAGACTCAGTTTTAAATTGGCATTTTACCTTACACGAAGATTCTGGTAGGATCTAAACGCCAGCTTTATTGATACGGTATACTATTTACCATGTTTAAGGAATGTAGTAAAAAAAATTCATTGCAAAAATTTTGCAATTTATCTTGTTTTTTCCTGAATGCACTTGGAAGTTTTTCTGCTCTTCGCCGAGTTTGTAGTGCAATAATTTTTAAGGGGACATGGAAAGCAAATAAATTGTGGCTTGTATAGTATGTGATGTGTTCCTTTTAATTTGCAGAATGGGCCATGTCCATTTAATTTCCTGTTACTGGGGTTGAAAATTGGAATTGTAGTGACAAATTGATAGCTGACACTGGGACTGGTGGGTTTTATAAGTAGAGCTGTTTCACATGTTCCTATTTGGGTGGCCATTTTAACCCTAGTTACTTCTAGTATGGAATTTTTTTATCAGAATAATTTACATGGTCAAACAGTTGATCCAAACATCATTTGGGAAAGATTTGCGAATTAACAGTTGAAGTCCCATTTTATTGTCTCTACCTGCAAGTTCTAAAAAATAATGCGGCAAAAACTATTATTTTTTGTTCCATAATTCTGTGGAATTAAAAATTGTGTACATCATGAAGCAAATTCTAGCCATCATACACTAAAACTTCCCGAGTAATAAACACCCTTGTTGAACCTCTCGAAGGAAATTCTAAACATGTATTAAAAGCAAACTCTGACCAATGTTGAACATGTAAAATGTTGCAGGGTCAAAATATGTTGTATATTGGTCGGCCATATTGAAATGATAATTAGGTAAACTTTATTTTGGCACTGAAATAAAACTTAAGTACAATTTCATGTCAGTTATGCCAATGAAGAATATAAAATTTGTTATTTATATCTATTTGTATATGTTTTAACCCCTTTTTAAGAAAATGAAAATGAGTGAACTCAAAATAGTTTAGAACCAACTTCCAGCATTCTAACGAGGAAGGAAAGTGCACACTTGAAAAGCAGATTGCCCCAGCTACAAGTATTTGCCGTTTACTTTTCTGTCGTGCATCAAAAACCTATGGACTTTCACCTTAATAAAATAATGTACTACTGTTTGGTTTTGAAAAAGAAATATATGAACACCTCAAGCGGAACTCCCTTCTGATGGTGGGAGCACCCACTGCAGCCCTCAGGCGGTTGTCAAAACTGTTCCATTGTGATAAATATTAGTATTGTGGGAATTGTAGTAAAAATACCTGCAGTGACTATAAAGATAAACACTAAAGATTTTATTTTACATATGTTACTGAAATGCACTGTTCTAAAAATTAAAACGGAAAATATAAGCTTTTATGTGGTTCTTTTTCAAGAACACACCGTATTAGGTTTTATGTAAATGCACTTAGTTTTAGTGATAAATGTTTATTTAAAAACCAAAGCAAAGTGTTTTAATTTCAAAATGCATGTGAAAGTGCTCCATTTCAAAACAAAGAAAGTCTCCATTTCTCAAAGGTCTGGGAGTTCAAGGTTGTAACTTCATAAAATAAATTGAAGAGAAGTGAGTTTCTGAAGAAAGCTGTTAAGGGTCTTCTTTCAAATCCTTTGAGCTAGCTGAAAAAAATTATTGAATCTTATTGATTAAATAGATAAATTTTCATGCAAGTTAACCTGCGTCTACAAGTGCTTTACAAACGACAATAAAACACGAGTAAAAATACTGTATTTAGCAAGTAACTACACTCCGTGCGTTTTGTCTTAGGTTCAGTTACTTGCACTAAAATGTCAAAGCAGATCTTCAAAACTAATAAACTCATTTCAAAATCTGTATTATGCGACTTGCAACAATCATTCATGCAACAGTATAAAACAAAAATTTAAATATTTAAAAAGGTTGAAACTCAAACAAAAAAATTAGCATTTCTACAAAAAATAAAATGTATATTAGTACCACTACTTTTTATAGTTGTATAGGGCATATTACTGCATACTAGCTGTTTCAACAAATTGGGACAACTAAATTCTGTTCTTATATACATATGGATTCTTACATACCTAACATAGTTAACAATTTTCGTGGATGTTATAAACAAATCTATAACCCGCCATTAATATGAAGAATGAGTACAAACTACCTATACTTTCAAGCTGTGGCCAATTATCTGTATGTATTTTCAGAAAGTGATCTTTCTCAAATATGAAAGGTCCAGATGATATGTTGCAAAGAACTGTTAAACATACAAACGATGTCTCTTACATGTTTTGTGCTCAACATTTTTTCTAAGTTCCTGTCACTCGCAATGAAATACTGTCATCAATGCAGAAACAATAATCATGCATTATGAACAGGAACCAACACAAATATGAACAAAATAAATTGATGGGAATGCATGACAGCAATTAATGAAATAATAACACATAATTATTATTACTAAAACACAGAAGAAACTTTTAGAAGACTTTCAAAAGTTGAAAAACTTTTTAAAAACTTTTTATTTTAAAAGCCAGAAAGTTTAGCTTACAAAGCTTATAAAGTACGAGAATTTTGGATAACAGGAAATGTAGGCCTATTCCATAATTCTGGGGTTGTTGATGAAAATGCTGCCATAAATTTCATGATCCTGCAATCAAGCATGCCTTTAAGTGCAAACTTAATTGAATGATTCGGAAATTATCCAGGTACATGTATTTGAATACTAAAATGACACACAATGTACAAGCCCATTACATGTATCTCATTCTCTGTATCTGAAGCGTGGGATGTCAGCGGCATCCAGACGCTCAGTGTCACAATACATCACTTCTCTGTGCAAGGCGGTGCGTGCAGATATTGCAAGGTCAGTTCAGCCTTTGGTCAAGCCGTGGCCAGATTACGGGGAGGGACTTCCAAGTACGATGATAGAAAACAAGTTTGGAGGGCAGATGGTGGCACTTTTTCCCAAAGCAGTTGGGATGGAATGCACGCGTAGCTGAAGATGAAGCGGTGCCTTTAACAGAATAGTGGTGTGATAGACATATCTTAGAGGTTGGTTGTTTGAAGGGTGTTTCCTTTTGTTAAAAAACAACAAACAAACTATTGAGCACCGCTGGTTCAATCTAGTCAAAAATTCATTCAGAAAGTCAAACATCCTGTCACACACCCAGTCCACCAGGCAGTCGCACATTCAGTCCGCCGGGCAGTCGCACATCCAGCCAGCGGGCAGTCACACGTCCAGCCATATGGGAGTTAGCAACATGTCAAAACAACCACATGCACCAACCAGTCACAAAACGCAAACAACAGATAACAGGACAAATGTGATCTCACAAAGGCAGGGGCGATCACCTCATAAGGGCAGCAACAGCTACCCCCGCTACCTGCAAAACAAGGAAAAACAACTCAACTTGCACACCGGGCAGTCACACATCCAGTCAGCAAGGCAGTTGCACATCCAGTCAGTATCTGAAAAGAAACAGACTCAAACAAGAGTTATAGTAACATGTCAAAACAACAATTTTACGGGAATGAAAAAAGCACACACACCAACCAGTCACAAAACGCAGATAACATATAACAGGTAAACGTGATCTCGCATGGGCAGTGCCGATCACCTCATGAGGGTAGCAAGAGCTACCCCTGCGACCCGCAAATTGAGGAAAAACTACTAACTTTGCACACTGGGCAGTCGCGCATCCAGTCAGCGATGCAGTCACACGTCCAGTCAGTATCTGGAAACCAAACAGACTAAAAGGAGAGTTAGCAACATGTCAAAGAACAAGGGAACTGACAGACAAAACAAGGACATACAGCAACCAGTCACAAAACGCAGACAACAGATAACAGGTCAAATGATGGGGGAGCGGGTTAGCGTAGCGGTTCTTTCCTCGCTTTGCATCAATGAGACCCGGGTTCGAGTCCCGGCTTGGCCGAGGCTTCAGTGCATTTGGTTTCCAGTCCACACTCGCTCTCGCAGGTTTTCTCCGGGTACTCCGGTTTCCTCCTGCCTCTAAAACTGGACCTTCTTCCTAGCTCCGTAATGTGATGCTAATTAAAAAAGTGTATGAATAAACGTAGAGTTATTGGCG